TCTCCTTTGTTCCTTTTTCTTTTCCTCTCTTTCATTGAATCATTTCACACCCATTCTTTCTAAATCTTCCCCATGGTTTCATCACAGTGGCTCTTTCCTTTACTTTCTTTTATTTGTTTATTTTTTTATCTTCCAAATTTTAATTTGGTTATAGAATTTGGTTGTTTTATGTATCTTGTTGACATTTACTATGACACTAATTTGGTATTGATTTTTAAAGGTTTACTATATAAATTTATGCACTATATATATAATATTTATTTATTTATTAAGGTGCGCCTCGCTTCACTCGGGCGTCGCCTTTGTATCGCCTCTCGCCTCAAGGCGATCAAAGGACTTGTTGCAATGCGGTGCGCCTTGCACCTCAAGAACACTGCTGTAGCCTCATAGCATGTTATCCATAGCCAACCATTTTATAAGCGCTTCCAGGAAATCGTTTAATATTTTTTTTTTACTCATTATTTTTTTGTGGAGCATTTGGTGGGAGAGGAATAGAAAAATCTTTAGGGGACTTGGAAGTATTGGAGAGAGGTGCAGGCTATGGTCACAATCCGTGCTTCATTAGTGTCGGCGTCGAAGGGGTTTTGCATAACTGGAGTGTATTTTTTTTTTTTAATTGTTAGAATGTCTCTTTCATTTAAGCTCCTTCCATAGTTCTTTTGCCCTTCCTTCTATTTTTCATTTATTTTAATGAAAGTCTGGTTTTCTACCTTAGAAAAAAATTCCTGCTGAAGCAAATTCCTTTGGATTCAAATAGGGGTTTGGCCCTTGGATTCTTAGGCATGCCATTGAAAGGAATCCAAATGGCTGTGTCTTTTAGAGCATTACTAGAAAACTTGACTACTGGAAGAAGGCTCCTTTCTTCAAAGAAGGAAGGCTTACTATGCTTCAGTTGGTGGTTAGCTTACCAATGAGCCAATCTACTTGATGTCTTGTTCAAAATGCCAATCAAAAGTACCTTTTTAATAACATGTAAACGAAAATTGTATTGTAGAGGTGCTTCCATGTTTTTTGTTTAAAGTCGCATGTAGTTACAATTTGCATAGATATTTACATCACATGTCCTATCCTCCTTAGACCAACCATGTATAAGGAAAAGTTATAAGCTTGAAAAATCTCAAGAGTGAATTAATTGCTAACATTGAAAGAAGAATCAAAAGCAATTAGGGACGTAGACCATGCTAGAATCATTTAGCGTAGCCTTATGCCTCAGTGGCCACTACGTAGTAGTAGATAAGGAACATCCTCCTTACCATCACACCATGTGCTTCTATGTAACGAGCTACACACAATGATGCATCATAGAGTTTGTTGATTGTATTTCATAACATAGCAGTGTGAGAGTGGTAAGTGACATTTTATTGAATCTCTTAACTCCATCGCTGCCGAATGATCAAATGCATTGCAGTTCCAGACACTCAAAGTATCTTTGTTGAAACGAATTCTAAGCACGATACTGTCACCAAAATTCAGTTGGTCACCCACTAATGCGAGAGTCAAATATTTCCACCATTGCAGTTGGATGATTCCTCCTAGAGTGGACTGATTGCTTCCTTAAATAGATGTAGATCGGTTGGCCTTGGCAATGAAGAAGTACGAGCCAAATGGCAATAGCTTACTCCTTAAAATGAGCTGAAGTCCACAATCTTTTGCATGTTGTCCTCATATGGTGTTTGAGTTTGCACTCAGGTGTTTAACTAAGTGTACCAAAATGCAAAGTTGTGTTTCAGGAGATGAAGGCTATCTTTGAGGTCTTGAGCTATTCGTTCATTTAAATCTCCAACTCCTTTAGTTTTTTAGTATTATTGGTGTCATTAGCCGTGACTAATCCTTGATAATGCTTGATAAGAAGAATCGATCCAGCACTGTTGAGCTTACTGTGATTGTTGCAACATTGTATTCCTTATTTTTGGCTACCAAATCCATTGCCAACTTCTTCATATCATAAACTGCTTTTGTCGCCTACTTTGTGCATTTATGAGATTGGAAAAAATGCTGGTCAAAATTATAAATATTATTGAAAAGAAAATGAGAAATTATGGGCTGATGAAGGTATAGAAAAAGGTTGTGCTAGCAAATTAGTTAGAAGAAAGCAGTCCATCACAAAGGCTGAGAAGGCCTAGGAGTTATCTGGAAAGATTCTTATCTGAAGAAGATCAAATTCTTTCTCTGGGAAACTAGCCTTCATGCACTCAACACTCACGACAAGCTCCAGAGACGAATGTCTTTTATGGCTTTATTTCGTCAGTGGTGCCCTCTTTGCAAGCTACAGAGTGAATCCATAGGGCATATCTTTCTCTCTTGCCCCTATACAACAACCTTCTGGAACAGAATTTTGCCCCTCTTTGGCTGGTCGGTTCCTCTCCCAACAGATTTGTCATTCCTATTTGCTATAACTATCCTCGGCCACCCTTTTAAGAAAGAAAAAGGCTGCCTCTGGAACCACTTCATCCGGGCCCTGTTGTGGACCACTTGGACATAAAGAAACGGACGGCATGCCACTTTTGAAGCCATAGTTTTTTTGGTTATTACTTGGTGGAAATGTTCTCCATGTTTCATTCTTATAGCTCTGCTTCTTTAATTACCAACTGGAGAGCCTTTTTGTGACCCACTTTTGGGGTTCTCTCCCTCCTTTTGTAATCTTCTCTCATTTCATTCTATCAATGAGATTTTTTTGATTTAAAAAAAAAGAGAAAGGAGAGAGTGTTGGATGCTGAACTATGGTTTACAGTTGGGAGTATTTACTCAAGTAATTTTCTCCACTCATCAGCCTCAAACAAAAATTTCTAAATCTAAGAAATTAAAATGGAAATATAAATAACAAAAATTAGAAATTACAGAATTATCTCAATGAAATGCTGTTATATCCTAAATAATAGTTACAAGCTTCTAAGAAGTCAAATACAACTCCAGAGTCTGGACACTGTTTCTACCTTCTGGACTTCTCGAAAGGCTGACTAATAAAGTCTGAAAGCAAAAGAAGAAAAGGCAAAAAGCTTAAGGTTCCAGTGAACACTCAGATGTATCTATTGGATTTTTGGCCATAGATTTGATCTATTTATATGTTCAAATATTTTAATTCAGTACGGGCCAAATGTTCCAAAGCTCCTAATGTATACACCAAATCATCATAAATCCATTATATTTATTTTAAAACATAATTATAATAATCCTTTCGTATGAAATTATGTTTTTGTTAAAACATTTTACATTAATCATCAATTATTTTTTTTACATTACACTTTGCTCGTTGAGGACGTGATGGATTTGCATCCTTATATCTTGATCCTGTTTCACTTCATATTTTGTTAAATTTACTTGTGTTGTGGGACACAGGTATTTAACTGATCAGCTGCTGAAGATTCAAATAGTCAATGAGGTTAACAAGGTAAAAAGTGGTTCTTGATTTTCTCCTTCCAGTGGTAATGTCTTAAATAACAACTTTCATGGGTATGTAGTAGCACTATTTAATTGTATGCCTTGATGAAGGATTTTGTTATTGAGGTGCTGCGATCAATAGCAGAGTTGATAACTTATGGTGACCAGCATGATGCATCCTTTTTTGAGTGAGGCCTTTTTATTGCTTATTATTTGTTGGTAAATTTTTAGTGTTGCAAAGCCATTACGTACTTCTGGCTGTTTTCAGGTTTTTCATGGAGAAACAAGTCATGGGAGAATTTGTACGTATTTTGGAGATGAGCAAGACTGCAGCTGTTTCGCTTCAGTTGTTGCAGACAATGAACATTATAATTCAGAACCTCAAAAGTGAACATGCTATATGTAATTTTCTGAATACAACTTCATAAATTATTGAATTCAATCTTGCTACTTCTGTTTATGGAATTGATCATTTTGGATCTATTGCAGATTACCTATTCAGTACTGAACATATGAACAAGCTAATAACATATGCATTTGATTTCCGGAATGATGAGTTGTTGTCTTACTATATGTCCTTCTTAAGGTTTGTTTTTGAATTGTTTACAATTTCCTCACTACAAAGTAATCGTGTTTTTTAATCATCTGACAACTATGAATATGTTTTCTTTGTTTTTATAAGAGCAATTAGTGGAAAGCTGAACAAGAACACGATCTCCCTTCTTGTGAAAACTCAAAATGTAAGTTTTTCTTGTTATAAATTGTGTTCAAATCTTTTATTAAAAGTATTTAATATGTATGATCCAAATCCTAGACATAAGCCGATTGCAATTGCATATAATTTGAGGGAGATGTTAAGACTGCTGTATGTATACTTATAGATGTGTTTGTATATTGGCTAAAGTGCTCGGGTCATCACAAGGAGAAATATGTCTTTGGTATCCATTTCACAAAATGTCAATTTATTTTCTAGGAAGTCATGATAACTTTAAAAATCGTTTGGATTAAAGATAATGAAACTTGACCAAACAACTCCCCGACTCCCGGGGAATAATCAAGAAAACAATTTGATCTATACTAATTGGAGAAAAGCTCCTCAGTAGGCGATTATGGATATTATTAGGGACATAAACGTATATTGATTGTCTAGGTTTCATGAAGAGAGAGAACGTATAAAGGACTGCAGGGTTACAAAAAAAGATCTCCAGTCGGTGAACAAACCTGTAAGCTTTGTAAGTACGAAAAGTGTTTTGACTTTAAAGACCTAAAAGACATGATGTAAGGCTGTAATTATAGAAGTGTTTAAATTTTAAAGGATCTATGTTAGGGATATATTAGAAATTAGCTAGCAAGTTCATTATAGTTGAATGGTTATAAATAACCTGTCAGGGGTATTGGGATTAAGTAGATCTTTGGGAGAGTCTAGGCCCCTGAAAGTGCTCGGAACCTTTTAGTTTTCCTTTCGTATATCTAGCATTTTCTACCAATTTTTCCTTCCATTTAGGGTTCTTATCACTCCCCTAGTTTTGGGGTTCTCCCTTCTTTTTGTATATTTTGATTGCCCCTAAGGAATAGGTTTAGTGTTTCCATTGAGGAAAAGGGATCTTTGTCGTCAGTTCACTTAATGAACATGTGTAATATATCAATAAAATCTTTGTCATTCTCATAACATTCCTTGATTCAATAAAGAACAATTATCTCAGCATGTAGAACAGTTAGGAGATTGGACCTCTTACTCCATGCATTATGTCTCTTGTTGTCTTTAGTTCAATTGGAAGGCTTTCATGTTTTAGTTTCCTTGGGAAGGAGTTTTCTCTACCCCTTGCCCTTAGGCAGTTCTTTTTGTGATTAATACACATCTCTTCTGTTTCTTATCGAATTGTTTTTGGAGAGTCAATAAACTGACATGTGGTCACTCAATGGAACAAATTGTTTTGCAATTGAATGAAGTAATGCTTCCAATAAATGTGGACCAACAAGTAGATTTACTACTTTTTCATTTTTTTATTTAGGATAGGTATATTTAGCTGATATTGTTCATAGTAAGTATATGTTTCTTGTTCACAAATTGTTAGCACATGTGTAATTGTGATTTTGTTCTTACAATGCGATTTTTCCATGTAGGATAAAGTAGTATCTTTTCCAATGTATGTAGAGGCTATACGGTTTGCTTTTCATGAAGAAAATACGATCCGCACAGCAGTTCGGACCTTGACACTTAATGTATATCATGGTTAGTTTGTCTTGACACTATTTGCTTAAATAACTCCCTGATTAAAATTATCATGGTAACTTGATGCCTGGTAGACTTCTAATGTGCTAATTTCAATTTCAGTTGGTGATGATTGTGTCAACAGATTCATCACCAGCCTCCCTCATGCAGAATATTTCTCAAATTTAGTGACATTTTTTAGGAAGCAGTGCATTAACTTGAATGAGTTGGTCTTTAAGACAATGAGGTAAAAAGTTAGTTTTAAACCTTTTCTTTTTTAGAATATATTACTATAATATCGCATAGAAGGTGACTTTTACTCTAAAGGTGCTGTTTGGTTTCTTTGGCAGAAGCACTGAGCTCTCAACCTCTACAATTCTTGCTGCTGTAGATGAAATTGAAGACAACCTTTACTATATTAGTGATGTTATTTCTGCAGGGATTCCTGACGTGGGAAGGTTAATAACTGATAACATTTTGCGGCACTTGATCTTTCCTTTGCTTCTTCCGTCTTTGAGGATAGAGGCTGTTAATGTATGACTTTTGCTTATTCTATCCTTTATCCTTTGTGACATTTCTTTTCAAATATTAATATTTTGAACGTTATGAACTGTCTTATTTCAATGTTTTCTTTAATTAAAATAGTTTTGGTGTTTTCATTGTTTTGATGAGAAACATTTTTTTTTTAACAAGAAACGAACTTTTCATTAATAAATGAAAAGGAACAAAAATTATTCAAAGATACAAACCCCCAAAGGGGTGAAATGAAGGGAAATGAAGAAGAAAAAAGAAAAATAAAAATAAAGATACAAACAAACCAAATTTAATACAGAGAATGAAAGGAAGCTTAAACATTGCACAAAAAAGCCTCCCAATTAGAACAAATCATGCTAGGAGAATAATTTGCAAAGAGATTGGAGAGAGCACACCATTGTGAGGCTTTGAACTTAGCTATACTGAAGCATTCAAAAGCTGAGCGGCTTTTTCCTTCGAAAGTCCTTTGATTACGCTCAAACCATAACACGGAAATAAGGACTTTAAGACCGTTTACCCGAAGAAGACTTGCTTTAGGCGAAAAGACAAGACCAAATAGCAACTGAAAAGTCGATGAAGATACTGACTTGTCCTTTACCCAAAACTAAATTGAACATATGAAAGAAGAGATCCCAGCAAATTGATGTATAAGGACAAAAGAGAAACAAATGCACTTGGTCTTCGCAATTGGCAGTACACAAAACACATATAGTATTCAAATTGAAGCTCGAGGTGCACTAAAGTGCAATAGACCTCCGGAGCTAAAGAAATTAGGTTAAAATTTAACAGAAGTATGATGTGGCTGCCAACTAGGACACGTGTATAATTTTTTTTTCCTTTTTTGAGAAGGCACATATGTATAAATTGTAATGAAATTTAATCTTGTATTTTAACCATAGAAAATTCTTTTATAATTATAGGGGTCTTTTGATGATTATATATATATATTTTTTTAACAAGAAACAAACTTTTCATTGATAATATGAAAAGGAAGAAAAAATTTTAAGAATACAAGCTCTCAAAGGAAGCGGAAAAAAAAAGGAAAAAAACAAACCGCCCATAGAAAACAAAAACCCATAACAATATGAGAACTGAAGCCCAAGAACACATGCTGAATACCGATTACAAGAAAGCTCGCGAAAACAAAGGATAGACTGCTGAGGAGGATTATTAACAATTGAAAGATTTTTCTTTAGTTCTGTGGGCGGTGGTTCCCTCTGCCCACAGGTCGTTCTTTTGTTCTCCCCTTTCAAATGTAGTTCTCCATTTCATATAAACAAAAAGAAATTTAATCTCTCATAATTCGTAGTGGTTAGGCCAACTATCATGGGTGGCTCATTGGTCCAAATGGGCTAGGGTTAATTAGGAGGGAATGAGTTCAAACCCAATGATGACCACTTACCTTAGGAATTAGTAATTCCTATGTGTTTCCTGACACCAAATGTTGTAAGATCAGTCGAAGTGCGCGTAAGCTAGTCTTGACACTCCCGGATATATAAAAAAAAAATCGTAGTGGTTAAGCCTTCGAGGTTTAACCTTTCTTGGCCTAGCTTCCTTTATGAGCGGATTGTTCCTTTTGTCATAGCTTATTAGTATCTTTAAGTCCAGTCACATATCTGTTTCATTTATGAGAAAAAAAATCTTTTTTATTCACAGCATTTTTTTTAACCATTGGTAGTTTGAACGTCCAGGGGGTACAAATTGGAGCTGTCACTTCTCTGTATTTACTTTGTTGCATTTTGCGCATAGTTAAAATAAAAGATTTGGCAAACACCATCTCTGCTGCCTTTTTCTGTCCATTGGATGCCTTCTCCCCACACTGTGAAGATAGAGTTAATGGAAATATGGCTCAGTTATGTTGCATAAATAGAAGCCAGTTATCAGAAGGTGATAGCATTGTGAGGCAGCCGTTGGATGCTGAATCTTTAAGAAATGAAGTATTGGATTCATCTCCTCCTAAAACTGAGCTAGAAGATGGGATGATGAAGAATGATTGTCCAGGCTCACACTTGGAATTAAGGTAACGTTTTATATCCATTATAACCAGCTTTCCTGTCATTTTAGTCACATGTGAAAGCATATTTCAATTTTCAAGGGGTTTATGCCTTTAGATGATTAATCAAGAGGAAAATGAACTTATGACAAAGCATGAACTCTGCAAGACGTGATATCTGAAATCACAAGGTTCTATTTTACTTGCTGAAAGAATTCGGTTGCAAATATTTAGCCTTATGTTCAGCTTCCAATTCTATTTATCTTTCTCCTGCACTTTTACTGTGTAAGAGTTTTTCATTTCTCTTTTTCTTTTCATCACTTCATAGGATGTGCCATCCTCTTGCAGTGTTTTGTACTTCATGTTTTTAAATAAAGTATTTGTTTCTTAAAAAAAATATGCTAGTGGTGACACTATTTGAAATTTTAGTTCCTGCATTACAAAGTTGATCCCATTTAGGACTGGAAAAATGCACTAGCTTGTAATTAATTTCGTCAATTTCTTTGTTATTAGTAACACCTAAAACAGTTTGTTGTTGTTCTTAAAAATTGTTCCTATAGTTAAGAGAGAGCTATTATTTCTTTCTGGTTCTTTATTCTGTATTTTAAAATTGATGTGAACAATTCACTCAAATGGTTACTTCACACTTCAATCAAGGAGTTATTAATCCTTTAATTTTGACACCTCTAGCTACCTAACTATTGATTCATCTGTACTTATAAAATGCATGGGCTTGATACAAAGCAACAATAATTGTTGAAGGGAAATATTGATCCATACATCAGATGGGGCAGTGAAAAATTTCGTCAAGTGGTCCCAGTGTTCCTACACAAATTTTATTATACCCAAAGGTATTGTGAAAATGGACTAACAATAAAGTTTCCAAAAAAGACTCAAGTACCGTGAAATGCATAAAGGTGCTTGGAGCATTGGGAGGTTTGAAAAGCATAATCTACTGTTCAAACAACCCATCATTTATTTATTTATTTTTTATAAGAAATGGAACCATGGTATTACAGACAAAAATAGAATATAGCCTAGGGGTAGAGGGTAGAGAGAACCCCCGAAACTAAGATATAAGAGTCTTTCAGTCATTGATGATCATCACAAGGCTGTAATTATTTTTATGATTAGAGCATTATCAAGAAGCTAAATGTTGTACACTATTTTGAAAAGAATTCATTGGAACACTCTTGTTTTCAAAAATCCTATTATTCTCTCCCTCCAAATCCACCAAAGGAGAGCCGACACAGCATAATTCCACAAAAGATTCCAAGAAGAGATGATCCACCCTTGAAGGAAGGCAAAAATTCATACCAAATTTAGACAACACAAATGACCAAACACTGCAGGCAAACGAACCATGGATGAAAATGTGGTCTGTAGTCTCCTCCTTATAGCAGAGACAACGGGGGAGACAAGGACTAGTGGGAAAATTTTCTTTGAAATCTCTCGGCAGTTTTAAGACTTCTGTAAGAAAAGGACCATAAGAAGGATCTCACTTCTTTGGTACCTTAAACCTCCAAATGTAGTTGACGAGGGGTGCTGTCAGCTGAGCTGTGGGGCTAGTAAGATGGTTAAAGTAGATTTTGAAGAGAAGAGGTCACTACAAAAGGCTTGGCTCAATTACAAGAACCGAAGCCATATCAAAAGCTTCTAGCAGCTTTAGCCAAAAGAAACCATTAGCGGACAGGATAAAACAAGATGGTTGTCATCCTTTTTGGTTTATCTGCATAAGGAATTCCGATTTGGATTGAGAACCATGGGGGGATTCTGTTTGTTCACTTTGTCCATTGTGTTGAGACCACCAAGGGCTGCTGATAAAAAAAAACCCTTACACTTTTTGGGCAACATTTTCTTCCAAATAGGGTCCTGAAAAATTGAGGGGGTGGGTCGGCATTCCTTCAATGAGAGCGGCAAAGTGCGATTTGACATTGAAGACCCATTCTTAACAAAGCTTCTATACTGTATGGGCTTCCATTTCTTTTATAAAAACCATAGATAATAGTAAAACATTGTTTTGATTTTACGATTGGAGTGGCAATGGCTGCTTTAGTGGAAGCTTCCCTAACATCTTCTCTCTTCTACCCAAAAGAGTGCCAGACCAAAGGATGTGTGAGATTTTCCCTCTAATGTTTGTTGTCCGATGCTTAGAAGGCCCCTTTTGGAGAGAGAGTTGGTTCAATGGAATTCTCTTATGGCCGTCCAAAACACAAGACCCATCTGCAGGTGTTCTGACGTTCTTTTGGGTAGAAGAGACAATAATAAGTATAGTAGCCACTTAATAAAAGAGAACCGGCAGTGTCTTTCAGCTTAACTATACAGAACTAAGGGTTTTACAGCTCTTAAATTTTCATTCAGAAGGAAAACAACCAAAATAATGAAGTAGCGTATTTATTAACGATCACCTTTCTCCATAAAGCTGAAGGCTGAACTTGGAACGCCACAACCATATATTTAAGTCCCTAATCTTACCCAAGTTGAGATCCCTGTCTAGAGTGACAATCCTCAAATTAGCCAAGTGATTCCGACTAATCTGCCCATATTTATAGCAAAGTTTTTTGGTAGAGGGCCAGTATGTTAGCCTTCAAGTGGCTACTATACTTATTCTATTTGTAGGCTTACTCAGTAACTTGGTTTCCTTATAAATTAATCTATGAACTATTTGTAAATAGCAGCTTTTCACTCTTGATAAGAATTTCTGATTTTATTCTTCTTTAGTGCACACTGGATAGGGGTCCAATACAAAACTTCCAATTTCTATCTTCTGAATTGGTCCAAATAATGCTTAACATGTGTCAACAATGTGTTAGTAAATATCCCAACATGTATGCTTTGGCAGGGAATCGTTGCTTTCTCATATTACAATTGGAGATAATTTACAAGTCTTGGGTGCCTTGAACGTTCTGGCTACACTATTGCAGACTAAAGGTGAGATTATTACAGATATTCAACTTTGCTCCTCTGTTTTGCTGTTCTTATCATGCATCTCAATTTTTTTTGTAGAACTGGATGAGTCAATGCTGGATGCTCTTGGAATCCTTCCTCAAAGAAAACAACATAAGAAATTGTTATTGGTACTCTTCCACGATGACTATGCTGCAATTTTTTGGACTCTGTTCACTATTGATAGCATGACACTAAGCAACAAACATTGCAATTTTTGGGCTTACTTTTGTTTTCTTGACACTAAGTGACAAACATTATTTAGCACCATCTCAAATTGACAATATCGTGAAAGAGAGTGCTTGTATGCTTGACTTTTCGAATTTTAATTTGATTCGCCTCTGAACTTATGATTTACTTTATCATAACCAGACAATTATTGATATTTGAAGATTTATACTATTTTATTATCATTGCCAGTTGATTACAGCATTTTGGTCATCTTCAATGGACTCTGTAGTTTTAAAAAAAGAAAATTTTAATGCTCGTAGTGAATGAAGCTTCAATATTTCGGATCTGCAAATTTGAACTGTGTTTTATTCTTTTGTGAGGCTCTTGCATATGTAGCTCATTCTTGTAACTGCCCGGGTGCAGTCTATTGCCACATTTTATTATAATATTTTCAGAATTTTTGTACTTACTACCTAACCTATTAGAACCTAAGATAGTGCTCACCCCATTTTTCTATGTAGTATA